TATTGTAGATGACTCACTTTCTCTTGAACCCATTTTCAAGAATTTAGCATACAGTCTCACACTGGGAAAGGTCCCTTTAAAGCACAGAAGAGACTATTTGCAAACTTACTGCTCCCATTTAAGCTGGTGTCCTCCAGTTTCATCAATTAAAGTTAATTAAAGTTAAAACCTGTTTTCTTAATAATATAACTTTTAAAGAAGCATGCTTTAGTTTTTATAAGTTATTAAATTTCAAATGGATGAGGCAAGTTTCTCAAATTCTTTGAAATGATCCCATTGGATCGTATCAGTGGTGGATGACCAATTTTTTTGTTAGAAAAACCCCTTGAGCGTATGATGAAAATTAAGGACTTTATCCCTAGAAAAAGCACCTATATACAAAATAATGATTATAATGTCAGGGTACAGGGGACTCACAGGCTGTCTGAAATTCAGCCAAGCATCTCTGGGTTAAAGGAGTCTCGATGCTATTTAAGATTTTTATAGCTTTAAATTATACAGTTTTTTTTTTCTTCAGAAACAAGGTTAAAACCATTAAACAAAGGAAGTCAGTCTTGAGAATAAAGTGAAAATCCAAACACAATTTATTAATTTACTCATTGATGTTAGAGACATTAACTAGAAAGGCTGAACACCTTGCTTATATATAGATGTAGATATTCATTTGACAAAGCAAATCACGCCTTAGAAAACAGAAGTTCGGCAAAATAGATACTCACATAAACCTAGGATATTTCTAGACATGGAAATGTGTGTCAGTCACAGCTTTAAAAATGATAAATTGTCCCCTCTACTCAAATCACCCCCCCACCAGCTTCAATTTCTTTTCAGAGTAAGGAAGGAAAATATTACACAATGTAGACTATGTTTGAGAACTTTTGGGGTATCTTTTTAGGGGGTAGGGAAATACTTTCAGATCCAGAAATGTCTTATTTGAAAATAAATACTGGATTGCTTAAAAAACTTACCTGAAATTCTTGTTCTCTGAAGGAAATGCAGTAATTATAAACATACCCACACTCTTGGGTACATTCTCCTAAGTATGAATGGAGTTGGAATGCGCCATATTTTAAGCTCGGAATTGCTACTGCTGCAGTTACTAGCAGCTGGTTAACTACCTGCCTAGCTGGTAATGATGTAGAGCTGACACCTATAGTCCTTCACATGGGGAAGCCAGTGTTCCCTCTGACAGGGAGTACAAAGCAGTGTAATCTCTGGCCTTAAGAGACCATGAATGGGCTCTCTAGAGGCTAAGGAGGGTAGAGCCACACTACTAAAGAGGCTGCCGTACACTTTAAAAGCAATACTGAAATTAATACATTGAAAATTTAAAGAATAAAACTGGAAAAATGTTCTGTGTGAAAGAAGCCAAGAGAAATGAGAGATATTGATAAAATGACTGATGATTATTAACTGGGTTAGCATCTAATGGTCAGTATCAGAGTAAAGAATTACAGGATTTAAATATAGTAATATAAAGTAAGTCTTATCCTAATACTCAGCAACTTAGTATTTTGTGGTAATCCATGCCAACTCGAGAGTTAAGTGACAGAGTCCATATTAAACAATACTTGGAAAATATCTTGAAATGGTCAGGACCCTGAAAACTGCTGAGATTATTGCCACGATGAATTGTTTTCATAAGGTTGTTCTATTAGCAGTGCACTGTTAGGACAATTTACATTTTATAAACTCAAGTAATTAATCATTCAATTTATAAAATTTCACACTTTATGCCTGAATGTAATTTAAATTTAAAATGTTTAATATGTAAAGACTGAGTCCCTGTCATAAAAAGTACCTCTTCTGTCTTAAACATCCTAAACAACCAAGATGAAATAGGCTATATACAGTTTCTGGTTTGCATACTGATTTTCAGATGATTATCAAAACCTTCCACGAAAATTCTCTATTCTATAGTCTCCAAGTTTCTAGGCAATGTGATAATGTCTTTGATACAAGCTAAACGATGGCAGAGTTGCCAGATTTAATACAGGACTCCTAAGAATAGCATGGTACATAATTACATTAAACAATTATTTATTTATCTGAAATTCAAATTAAACTCGGCATCCTGTTTTGTTTTTTGCTTTCTGTTAAATCTGGAAACTCGAAGCCAGCTGAGCTCAAAAGGCTACCCAACGGACTTTGGCATGGATGAAGCTAAAATGGGAACCCCATTCTTTGTCTCGATTTGTACTTTGAAATATAACAGCTACTTGCCACATGTGGTTTATGGAGTTCTTTAAGTATGGCTAGCATAATATGAAATGTCCTTGTGAATACAGACTACACACTAGATTTTGAATGCTTAGTACAAAAAGTAAAATACCTCATGATTTAATAATATTGCTTACATGTTGAAATATTAGTGTGAATATGCTGGGTCAAATAAAATGCAATTAAAATTAAATTTGCCATGTGGCTACTAGAAAACTTAAAATTACACATGTAGCTTATATTCATGCTCTGAATTATAACTGGAGGTATCTATCCTAGATACCTCCAAGAAGAATGTGAGCTAGACTCTGCATACTGTCCCATCCCTACAAAGCAAATGGTAGTAAACATAACAGGGCTGTCTTTCTCACTTCCATCTAGTTATTAGAGTAGGTAAGGGAGCAGAAGGAAATGAAATTTCTAGTAGGAATCATTTGCTCAGACTGATTGCGGTCACTTTAAAAACAACAGGCTGGCAGAGTGGCTCAAGTGGCATAGTGCCTGCTTAGCAAGCATGAGGTCCTCAGTTCAAACCCCAGTGCCACCAAAAATAAAAAATAAAATAAAATAAAATAAAAACAATAAACATAGCATCTGAATACTAATGAAACATAAATCAGAAATCTATTTTATTTATTTATTTTTTACAATGCTAGGGATCAAACCCAGGGCTTTGTGCATGCTAAGCAAGTACTCTACCACTGAGCTACCCCTGAAACCTAATTTTTAACAAATCATTCTTACATAATTCCAAAGAAGAAATTCTAGTATCTGTGTAAGCATATTTATAAAAATAAAATCTTCTAGATCCCAGTCTCAACAAAAGAATCCCTCAGTACCATTAGGTTTCCCTTGGTGTTATTAAGTTTGGTTTTCACGCCTATATTATTAAAAATCATATAACAATGATTTATTCTGTTCCCTAATTGAGATGACATAAGTTATTTTTAAGAACTGTTGGGACAAGATCTTATTTTTTATATTCTAGATACAGAAAGCAAGATCTTAGTGGTCATATTTTACATATATACCTGCTACAAAACTGATCTGAAATTAGAACACTAGAATGGTGAAATAATTTTTTCTTTCTAAAAATATATTCTTTAAAAAATTTATTGTCTTATTATATATATATTATATATATAAGACAAAGTTAAATTTTAAAAAGGTGTGTGGGAAAAATTTTTTAGTTTAAAAATAATTTTAGTTATATTAAAGCTTTAGTTTGGGTAAAACAACACCCTGTGCAATTATCCTTATGTCCTACCTTACAATTCCACTGTTTAAGTTTTAATTCCAAGCTTTTCTTAATTGGTTAGAGTTCATTCATTCTCTTCCACATTATTTCAGGGCTAAAAATATTTAACATGTTTTGATAAATAAAAATTAAAAGAAAACTATACGCACACGTATAATATCTAAATTCTCAATAATCTGTATTTTTCTCTAATATAACCTAACATATCTACTTTGAAAATTTAAATCTTTTTAAAATTATTTTCAGCAAGACTAGTTGTAACTCCTCAGCTATTTACATACATTTAAGTAAACTGGTTCTCAAACTTTTACTGAAAAGTTCTAAGATGTGTTCTTTTCTCATTCTAACAACAAAAACAAAAGTCTATTTCTCTTTTTTAATATCTATCATTAAGAAAATATAGGAAGAGCAGTGAAAACATAGGGAGATAATGAAATTTCTCTATTGGAGGTAGGAATGCCAGATAAAAATCAGCACATTTCTTCCTAACTTTAATGGTCCATAGAGAGATTCACATCTGGCACAATGGTTTTTAAGATCTCTTTAAGAAAAGATAAATGAAATGAAATGGACAGACTTGATTACAACACTTAAGCTCTTCAATGTGGGTACTACAGTATGCTGGGGATATTAAGCATTTAGTTTCTTGTTGGCAGCCAAAGTTATTCTTATCTAATACTGATCAACTTCCACTGCGGATCTTTTCAAAATCAGCATCTTCTTTCTATTCTTCAGTTAATGAATGATATCCAAATGACACTTTAATTTAGGATTGGTCATTTTGAGAGGTGCCAATAAACTACACAAGAGAAGGAGGATGTTTTATTTCTCCTTCATAAGGATTCCCTGATGGAAGAAATGCATTTATTCTTCATTTCCTGATGATAGGAAGAAATTGTATGAGAAAAAAATGTTTACATTTTTAGAGATTTTTTTAAAAATTAGGACCTGACATAAGAAATTTTATGATCATATACCTCTTAAAGATTAAGAAAGCCTTTATTTCCATTCTTTCTGAAGTTTACTACAGATTACCAAGTAATTTGAGGAATTTTCTCTGAAGTAAAGGCAAGACACAGTTTAAAAAAGATGATGAAAAGCAATTCTCAAGCTGTTTGTTATCAAGTTACATTGTATGTCATCAGATTGCTTGAATGCTGTGATTGTTTCAAAATTCTTGAATGTGAATCTTAAGACATTCAAGAAGAGTTCTTGATGAGGAATTAACTCTGCAGTTGTTAACTGACTTCGATGTAGATCAGATTAGAAAATAAACTTTACTATAATTTGGATTTTTAAAATAACAAAACAAAAAACCTCCATAATTCCTAGGGCATGCTTTACTTGTAAAACAATGAAATACGCCTTTTCATGAATGTGTGATGTTCTGCACACAGTGGCTGCCTGGGTCACCCATCTATGAAGAAATCTGAAGGTCTCAAACCCTCAATGGAGCATTCCAAAACCAGTCCTAAGTTAGGAGTGTGGGCCCATGAGTGTGCACTCACTACCCAGTGCTTACCTTTAGAGAACAAGGTGCTGACACAAACTGATCAAGCTCTCACCCCACCTCCAAGAACACTGAAAAAGATCTGAAGATCTTTCTTGGTTGCAGGAGAGACCACTTTATAATCTTCTTGTACTGGAAGTTTAAGATTTTCCTGAAGGAGAGAAAGGTAAAAACATTTACTGAGATCATACCATTCGGATCAAGTTTATCTTTTCATATTACAAAATGAGGCTCTGAAAAAGGAAATTGGATATTATCAAAAGTATTCTAATAATCACATTCTCTTCTTTAAAAAATATCTCTCATAAACACTGTGTATTTCAAATATTACTCTTTAAACAAAACCTTCAGTAGTTCAATTTCTACCCTGTCTGTGGGAAACTGAGAAGCTGAGAAGTATGTGAGACAACTCTGTGTTGTCAAGTGATCACAGTTCTAAATTATATTTAAAAACTAATTAGTATAGCAAAACTCACTGAAAAGCAATGAATCAAACAAGCTGGGAGAAACTGTTTCCCTCTATGTCTCTAAATAATGACACATGGATTTCACAACTGTCAGAAAAGAAGCCCTCTGAGTTGTAGAAAATGCCACCACAGACACATGTGATTAAGCGACTAGAATGTAAAGCTCCATGAGGGAAAAGTAATTTGGCTTTTTTGTTTTTTAACATAATGATTATCTGTAGAGTCATAACTAAGTCTTGGCATGTTTAGAGAGCACTAAAAATTCATCAATACAAAGAACATTAACCAATTAGCCAATATTTTCAAAGTCAAAACTTGGCAATAAAATAATTAGAAGCCTACGAATGTTTTAAAGAGTTTGAAGAAAGTGATATATAAAATAATATTCTTAATGTAAGCCTTTAATTGCATATTAAATAAATGTTAAGAAAGTAATGTTTAAAAATGCTTTGTTCTAAAATGTTCCTAAGAAAATGTTGTAAATATATCATTATAATTCAAACTCCTGAAAAGAATGGAGTACTTTAGGATCAGGAAATCACACTATGTCCCTTAAAGTACATTACTAGATATTAATTACAAAAATACCAAGAAAATGAAATGTAATAAGCCTTTTACTACTTCAGTTTTATTTTTCATTTTATAGAGAAGCTTCAATAGAAGCTTAGTGATAAAATTATCTTATCTATAAACTGTGCCTAAGCAAATATTAATTTACTTAATATTTACATATTAAACTGAAATAAGATGCCATTCTATCAGTATGATTTTCATATGTATTTTAAGTATATGTGTACATTTTGTTCAATTTTTAAAACACAAAGTTTAATTAGGAAATACTAAATCCTATTCATTTATTTATTTTCCTGTAACTTAGAGACTATTATTAAAAAACTCAGAGACCGACTTCCTTGAAGGGTTTTCCAAGTGTTTCCAAATCTGATTAACTGGGAAGAAACAGATGAAATGCTAAAGTCACTAAATGGGTCAGTGGTGTTAATAAAGAACTGAATGCGTATGTTTAAAATTTCAAAAGGCAAGGCCACTAGAATTAGAAGAAACAATTATTTGCAAAGTACTATTTGAGCACGAATTCTGAAAATGTGGAATCAGTCCTCAAGATAAACTGCACAGGATATAAGCTAGTTATTGTACAGCAAAAACAACAGTAAGAAAACAGGTAGGCAAGTCAGGATTTGTACTTACTTTTTATCATTGAAAAAATGCTGTACTTGACAGATTATACCTTCATTATAGTACTAAAAAGTTTTCCACATTTCACAAGTAATTTGATTTAATATCTTACATCAGGGAATTGGGTTTGAATGTTTAAAAAAAAGTCTGGCTAAAGAATATTAGCATACACAAAAGTTCACTTAATTTAATTTTCTTATTTTGGACATCTTGTAAGCTTCTGAACTAACTTTGAAGGGGAAGGGGTGAAAATATTTAACAAAAAAGTGCAATAATAATAGGCCAAAAAAACCTAAAGGGGAGGTAAAGAACAACACAGAGTTGGAAATTTGACTAAAAGGAAAATATTCTACAAGTTGATTGAATCTCCTAGGCCAAAGAGGGTGAAAGGAAGAAACACTCTCCCAAGGCAGATGAACTGGCTGGGAACTCCTTCAAAGTCCTTATTTATACTGGTAGATAATGGACACTTTGCCCCAGTTTCACTAGCAGGAGAAACAATGTCTAAGTTTACTACATTCAGAGATTTAGTGTGAGATTTTAAATTTCTCTTCCAAGTACAGATCATTAAGCCACATTAACAACTCATTTTAAATTCCTTACAAAACTGCCTGAGCAATATACTCATTTCCTCGTTCTTACTGAACAATGTTTCTCATACCGTTGGAAGTGAAGGTTGTTGTTTTTCTTTTTTAATTTTTTTCACCCCCAAGGGGACCTATGCTCAAAGAGTTACTGCTCATGACTAAAATTGAGCTCACACTAGACAAAACTCTCCAATACAGGTTCATTAACAAGCCTGGCCTAACCTTCAATCAGATGACATGGGTGATATGCTTGGATAACAATAGGAAATATCAATCACATTGAGCTAAGAATTTCCTAAAAAGTACAGAAATTGAGAGGAAGCATTTAGTCATGAACTGGTCTGTAGCTCCTCCTTAAAGGAGCACTTATCTATGTTAGGAAAGTGTGAGGAGAAGGAGAATAAATGTGGACTATATACTCCAGAAAATAATGTGTTAGTTTATAACCTACTTTGAGTTTCTAAACTCACAAAGTGCTTCATTTTTGAAAATTGGTGAAGGGGCTGGTTTCACATCTGCCAGAATGCAAGCAGTCAAACATGCAGCTGTAACTCAGCCACAGGGATTGTTGTAAATCATAGCATGGAGGCTATGCCTCTTAATTCTTATTAACCATAAAGCCAGAGGTTCAGGGAAATTTTATAGTGAAGACAGCAAGGGCAGACAGCTCTCTTCTGGTATCTGGATTACACATTTATTCCTGCACCAATACCACTGTTTTAGACACTGCTGCTTTTTAACACCTTCTGATTCAGTAGGGTGAAATTTCCCCTCAAATTGGAAGTGAACCCAAAAATCTATAAATTACTTTTGGTTAAATAATTCATTAATTTCTCAATCTGGAATTAGGTTCTACTTATTTCCATCTTAAAATTTTGTCAAATATAATGATTTTTCCTAAAAATCTATTCTCTCTCAAAATTTACCACTAAAGATTATATTGCTTGTTATAATTCTAAGTAGGGCCTTTTCAAAGTGTTTTTTTTTTTTTGGCTGATATGAAGAAATAGCATATTTTGCATTTAATTAATTTTTATTATTAATTAAATGGTTTTAAACTGTTTTCCCTTAAATTTCTAGGTAATCCTAATATGTAAACATTAAAATTTAGGTTTTATTTCTTTTTGAGGTTTTGCATTAACAATATTAAATAAAAATATTTACCACTAAAGATTATATTGCTTGTTATAATTCTAAGTAGGGCCTTTTCAAAGTGTTTTTTTTTTTTTTGGCTGATATGAAGAAATAGCATATTATTTTGCATTTAATTAATTTTTTATTATTTAATTAAATGGTTTTAAAACTGTTTCCCTTAAATTTTCTAGGTAATCCTAATATGTAAACATTAAAATTTAGGTTTTATTTCTTTTTGAGGTTTTGTTCATTAACAATATTAAATAAAAATAGGATTAGTGGTAATTGATGAACGAACTAATAATAAAAATAATGACTCTCATTACTGAATTTAAGTTGTCACCACTTATCTACTGCTCAAGTGATATACTGTTCAGCTTGCTGATTTAATGAAGTATCCTACTTCTGAAGCTCAATTTATCTCCCACAACTCATCACAACATAGCATATGTGACCAAGTAGAAATGAGAGGTCTCCAACTCCTACATGACCAACATTACATATGCTGACTATATATATAAAGTTATCCCAACATTAACACTGTTTATGAAAATCAGTAAGATATCTTTATTCTACATAAGCCCTCACAATACATATAAAATGGATACTCAACTGTTCTATATGGTCTTAAGTTACCTCTGGATCTTACATATGTATTTAAGAGACCATATTTAAAACATTAAACTTCTTTACAGGATGACAATCTCAGGGAAATCAAAAAGTTTCATGAGGAAAATTTCTTCTAATGGAAGAATTTCTACCAATACACATGGAAGGGGTAGCAGATTTAAAAATTCTTTGCCTTTCACACATAAGTGACAGAACTGATTCAGAGACTGACCTGTAATGGATGACACCATGGGAAGAAAGGTCATTGGAAAACTCTCGAAAGACAGATTGTGCTGTCACCACTGTCCAGTTTTAGCACTGCTAAGTATGTGATAAGCAGACACTATATGCTCCCTAATACAATACAGTACTGAGAAACAGCACCACATATGAAGTATTCCTACCTCCTCCCCAACCTTCAGTACCAAAAGCAAAGCTGAATGTGAATCTAATTAGTTTCTGAGATCACTGCTAATTTACAGAAAATCTAGAGGTTAGAACAACAACTTTAATGAGGAGAAGCCATCAGAAAAATCAAAACCAGGAACATACTAGAGTATCAGTTACCCAGTTTCAATAATTAAAAGTCATCTACAGGAAGGAAAAGAGGCAGAAAGAGAGGAAGGAAGGGGGGAGGAAGAAAACAGAACAAGGGAGGGAAATAGAGAAATAGTGAGAAAGAAAAGACTTTTTTGTTGTACTGGGGTTTGAACTCAGGTCCTCACACTTGCTAGGCAAGTACTTTTCCACTTGAGCCCCACTTCTAGACCATAAAACAGTCCTAATAACCAAATGCTACATTGATCATGTTTGGATTCTGAATCAACAACCTAAATGTAGTATGGCATTCTATAGTCAGAAAGAGAGTAAACTGAATATAGATATAATGGTGACATAATAAGTCATTATTGTTAATTTTGCTGGATATGATAAAAGGCTTTGTGATTACATAACAAAAATGTCATTTTAAAAAAGATGCTTACTAAAGAATATAGGAGTGGAAAGTCTTGAGGTCTGTTATCTGTTTTAAAAACAAGTTGAGGAAAAGGAGCTAGTATATGAAACAAATGTGGTAAAACTTTGCTAATTATTAATATCTGGATTTATTATATAAATTATACATATAATTACATAAATTATTATATAAATGGGTTTTATTAAACTAGTCTCTCTTTTTTGTCTATGTCTGAAATTTTTCACAATACTTTTATTCCAGGCTTCTGGACCATCATCTATTAAGCCAAATACATTCTACTATAAGTAAACAAAGAAGTATTTACTACTACCCTATTACAGAATAAAAACTCATAGCCAAAGCAAAGCAAGGATATAACACACATGACAGACTGCTCTGTATGTGACTAGCATTGACATGTACTTTAAAATATTTACTTTAAAATTAAATCTGACTTGCACATATTGTTATTGTGCATATGCAAAGTTGTAGAGAAAAAACATTTTGTAAGTTCTAGTTCAACTGTACTTTAAGAAACAAAATTATAGAAAAATGAAATGTGTACCCACCATACAAATAAACAAAGGTTTTAATAGTTTGTAGGATATAGTGAACTGATATTTTATTTTGTTACCTTCCTTCACATCTCAGTAACATCATGCTGCCCTCTGATTTTATTGCTGCATATAAATTAGGTCTGCATTTTCAAAAAATATCCTGGGATTCACATGATTCCTTCTTTAACCTACTGACATTCCCTTTTCTAAGTGACACTGACTGGTTTCAGCTAAGTATTAGAAGACTACACCGTCACAGACTCACATAAAATAGCGTATTTTATATTTAGTAGGTACTCAGGTATTTAAATGAATGACAAATATAGATTAAATACCCACCAAAATACTTAAATTTATATGTTCATCTTAAAATTTAAATGAATTTCTAATGAGTAAAGTCCATGGTAGCAATGTCTGAACTAGTCTTTCTTTGGCTCTTGTGTACTGCACCACGTACACCTCTCTGGCAGAACAGTAGTCACCACTTATTCCCCTCTAATAAAAAGTATTCTACAGCATAAGATGGGATTATCTGTTATCATATCTTCAAGCAATTAGAGTGGTTATTTTTGCTTGTCCTTTACCACTTTTGTTATGTTAACTACTGCTTAATTTTCCCCAATAAATCACACTAAGCAAATCCAAGAAAAAAGAAGCTGTTTTTGTTTAATTATATTTTCTTAGAAACACCAGTTTTCTATATTATTGTATATTAATATTTAATATATATTTTCTATTATTTAATACTTTCCCTTTCCCCAAAAGGTTTATATTCAAAGTCCTTGCAAATATCTTAACATCTACAATGTACAGAATAGTAGCTCACAATATAGATAAGTGTTCCTAAATCATCTATTAAGTCTACAAAGCACATCTATTTTAGCTGATTTTTATCTGCGAATTATTCTAATTATGCCTATATCAGCATCTGATAGTTAAACAGGCATACCAACTAACTTCTGATGGTTAGTATATATAATTTAAACACTGGTATTTAATAAATAGAATGTAAGTAGTATATAAATGCTATCAGTATATATACACACGTATATATAAGAATGTATATAACATAAATTATCATGCTTCTTTTATTTTCTTTCCCTTGAAAAGCTTATTGTAAGCCATTTAAACACTTTAACCATACTTCAGTAGATGTTTAACCTGTACTCATTCACTTAAGCTTACTTTCTTTCCCTTAAAGTATTTATTTTTATCTCCTTTCCCTAAAGTACTAGCTTATCATAGTCTACTTTTTCATGAATTAATCTGAAAACTCAAGACACTATTTGAAGAATTGGAAATGCCCTAAACAGCTTGTATTAGCAGCAGAGTTTGTAATGACATGCAGCAATTTAAAAACTTATTAATAGAAAGTTAGTGCAAAGGTAGAAAAAATTGGTAGCTACTGAAACTTTATTATTAGAAAAAGAATTTTACCTAGCAGAACAAGGGAATCAATCTGAAAATTAGTCAAACTAAAAAAATTTTACATTTCTCTTGTGACATTAGGAAATAGAACACTTGATCTCGGTCAAAAGGCCAAGAAGCAATAAAGTCAAGAAATACTAGGTAATTCATGCAGAAATATTTGGGAAGTTCTGAAATTATATATGTAAAAATCAATAATGCATTTTAATTTGAAAGCACTGTGCAAGATGTTATTTCTGAACAGAATTCTTTAATCAGTTAATTTAGAAATTAAAAACAAACCTGCATAACTTCATAACTTCACTTCAATTGGAAGAATGTGCGATGTCAATGTGTGTGTCTACACACATGAGCATGTGTATGTGAGATACACATGCTACATATAATGAGGAGACTCAGATGCTAAGAGGGCCTTACAGTCTTAGCGGATTCACATAGCTAGGATCTCTCTGCTTATTAGTGGCAGATCAGGTACTACATCTCGGAGTTCCTGATTCTAGCCCAACGTTTAAATACCTCTAGTCTTTCTAGGGCCTACTGAGAGTCATAGTGCAATTCATTTCGACATTATTAATAGCAAATGCTAGACAGTAAGTTTTCAACAGACACTGTGTATGACTGCATTAGAATCAACTGTGGCCATGGAAATCTGTATTTGCAGTATTCACATAATTTTCTCTCACTTAACATCTTACAATGAAAGAAATCGTTCTCTATTACAAGCGAAAGGGTACTGGGATACACAACACGTATTTCAGTGTTAATTCGGATGCTTAATCCGAGAAACACTTACACAACTGAATTAATATGCAGACCACAAAGCCATGGGATCACAGCTCAAAAAAGCTAAAAATTTCACCCTGAAATCATTTCTCAGCAAAAAAGAATTACTTGCCAAAATTAATTTAAGTCTTAAACATATTTTTGTAGGGGCTGGCTGAGTGGCTCAAGTGGTAGAGCATCTGCCTAGCAAGGGTGAGGCCAAGTTCAAACCCCACTACTGCCAAAAAAAATTTGGGGGGACATTAAAAGATAAAGTAAGTCTATGTAAAATCTATCACAAATTTAAATATAAACTTTCACAAATTATATGAAGTAGATAATATGACTACCTTAAGAAAGAAAACAATTTTTTAATAAGTAAGAAGTAGTGTTATATACTTTAAGGTTTACAAATACTACAAATATAGACATATTACTAAAAGGATCCTTTGATGGGGTTTCTGCAGGGAGAAAAATATTTGCTATTAACATAGTCTTTTCATTTCCACACTTACTCTACTTTGATTTGGGTTTATCTTCCATGATATAAACAAGGTATTTTTGCTATTTCCTCTCTTAGTTGAGAATAAGGTTCAGTTTCATGATGGCTGGAGTAGACTGAGTCTTGGGTTAAATGCTGAGATAACACTGGTCCCGGAGATGCAATCTGTGTAGGGTTTTGAGTGACTGTTGAAATGCTGCTAAACAGGTCCCAAAGATTATGTGAGAATTTTGCTGACAACTTATTTAGCAGTAATAATGTGATAGCTCTTTGTAATTACTAAGTTTTGTATGTGTATAAAAGTCACACTTTGTAATGGTATACATGACACATGTGTACACATACACAACACAAAAGCATCATTCTGCAATTGTTTCAGGTGACCCAACTCTGTGAATCAGACAGGACACTGAGATGAAGAAATTATTATCATCATTGTTACTGTTGGGAACTGTAACATATGGAGCCATTTTTTGAGCACTTTCTATGTGCTAGATATTTTATATGCATCAAATAACCTACTTTTTGGGAAGATATATACTCTTATTATTCCCATTTTAGAGATAAGAAAACTGAGGCACAGTGGCGCTACACATCTTTCTTAAGATTGCAAACCTTTAAAGTATCAGAGTTACTACTCAAATATAGTCTAACTCTAGAGACCACCTTCTTAACTACAATTTGGAGATGTTTAATGTAAAACTACTTTGTATAATTTTATTAAATGGCTTGCATAATGGATAATACGTAAGTTCATTCTATGCACATTCACATTTTTGATACCTTAGTAACTTGAAGATCTTTAAATAGCAGTTTCTTATATTAAGTAAGCCATACAAGGAGTGAGACTATCCCAATCTCACTAATTTTTAAGATACATCTTGAAAGACTTCCTGTTCAACTTATGCCAAAACAAATAACCAATTCATGAGGAAAATGAACTGATTAAGTTATTAGTGTTCTACAGATCAATTCTCAAGTTATCCTTGTGAAAGGACTACTTTGTTTTTATAATGTCACAAGGCACTATAATATAATTGCTTTATTACTCATTTAATTTCTGTGTTCCCTGCCAGTCTACAACCTAAAGATCACAGTAGTCTTACGTTGACTATGCCCCCAATACCCAGTGCAACGTCTCACACATAGCAGGTTGTCAGTAAGAACTGAGAATGAGCAAGTGGGATTTGCTCTTCTATCCTCTTAAGGTTACTTAATAAGGATCCCACCACAAGTGGTAGCTTAATATTGCTTATAATATCTACTTCATATAACTTTTATACACTTATAACTATTAATACATTAATCTTTAAAGATAGAGTAAAAATTTCCTTCAAATAAATCCTGTTATTTGTATCACAAGAATTCCTTCTTTATAAACTTGTCATAAATTCCTGAAATTATGGATTTTGGAAGGTACTCCATTTTATCTTCCACATTTAAAGATTCTTCCTTATACTGAACTGAAAACATTCTTTTCCTTCCCAAACTATAAACAGCAACTTTTATTAAAAATTTCCTTTCTCATTTAAACCTCCAACTCCATACCATTGTTAATTCCAACTTTCTTCTGATAGTAGCTCCCAAATTCAAAAGAGAAGCAATTACATTACAACATACACACACACTACATTATTCTCTATACTAAAAAGTTATGAAGTTAAAAATTGATGACTATTGGTAGAACTCTGTATGCTTTAGAAATAATTAGTAACTCATTTCAATAAAAAATGTTATGTATCATCACCATCTATAATATTTAAACAACTCTGTGTTTGTTTTTAAATTTTTTACAAGAGTATCCTAATTGTACAAAATAATTGTTTTCACTATGACATTTTCATACATGCATATAATAATGTACTCTGATCACATTCACTCTTCTTCTATTACCCTCTGTTATGATTTTGTGTCTTAAATATTTTTGTATAACTAAAAGCCTAATTCTCCACCTGACATCAAGGACCAATCAAAAATAACTCACAGGACCAAGAGGAGCTGCCCAAGAACACTGAATGCTATGAACACTGCCAGGCATACTATGTAGCAAGGAATACTTCCTCAAGACAGCCTCTCTGAGAGGTCCGGAGAAGGCATCCTTCTTCTAGCACTGACCAGTGACTGTCCAGATCTCTGAACTGAGATATTAAAAAAGTTAATAAAATGCTTAATTTTATTTAACCATTTGAAAAAGATTTATATGAATTTAATATTTTAAATATCTTATATGTTTCAGTAATAAATTAGGGAAAGATCATTTCTATTAAAAAGTAAACTTTCCTGATTTTAGTTTCACGCTACAGTATTCAGTACTGATTTGGTTCATTTATACTATCAGTTAGATAAAGAAATTCTAGTAACAGTGGGATGACTGTAGTTTGCAATAATTTATTATATATTCTATGAAGAGCTATAAGAGAAGAGTTAAAAGTCACCAAACATAAAGAAATGATCAGTATACTATGTATGTGTTGAAAGAGCCCACCAAACCCACTCATATGTACATGTTAATGAAAAATAAAATTTAATCTTTAATGAGAGTTTTCAAAAATATTTACAACTAACTTTATTATCTTTTAAACATCAACATTCCTTTAGATGAGATTCTTTTTGTCCTAATAGAAGAAGTATAAATGTTTAGGCATTTAAACACTTTGTTTTTAAATAACAAATTTTATTTTTCAAAGCTTAATAAATACATATGCTTTAAAATAAGTATGTAAAAGGAACATAAATTTTATATCCTTTTCTTTTAAAAAGGAACAAAACTGACTAAGAAAATCATACTAACATTTAAAAAATGTCTGCATGGGCTGGCTGTGGTATCCATATCTGTAATCCCAGCTACTGGGGAGGTAGCCATAAAAGGGATTGCACTTGGAAGCCAGACACGGCAAAAAGTTGGTGAGTCTTCATCTCAACAATCAAGATGTGGTGACACATGTATGTAAGGAATAGGTAGGAGGATTACAGTCTGATCTGGCCCAAGGGAAAGAAACATGAGATCCTATCTGAAAAATAACTATAGCAAAAAAGGGCCAGAGGCCAGGATCATGGCAAGCACTTGCCTATTAGGCATTATGTCCTAAATTCAAACCCATCCACCCAAAAAAAAGTCTGCAAGGAAAAACTTTGTAGCAGTTGAAAAAAAATCGGGGTTATCCTTTGTGACATTCATTCCTGAAATGTTAAAGGATCCTATAAGAACTTCTCTCCTAAATGAAATTTTCATGTAAGCATTCTGCTTTGATAAGGAAATATAAGAAAATGTAAAAGCAGCATAACTGCATTTCTCTATGATTAAAAGTCTTTCTAATGTTTTACTTAGAAGATAGTTAAAAGAATTATAAACTTCAATTAAAAAGTTCAAAATTAACATCACTTTCAAGAAACAAATTTGTGAGTCCTGTGCTTTCATATACCAACCGTATTACTTCTACTCTCATAGTAAATATGTCTTTTTTCAGGTATTGGCTCCAATTGCAATTGTACATTTGTCAGTGTAATTATATCTACACTATAATTACCACCTACAGTGGAAGTTCAAGAGTAGTTAGAGAATTCCTCACTTTTAATGGCACCAGTTTGTCCTTAGTACCTAGCTGTATGGATGACACACAAGTAGTCTAGATAAAGATTTAAATTACTGGATAACTGGCTTGAAGATGGGTGTTGCTATCTGAAGTGCTTTGTCAACTGTCAACATTTGAATGATTACATGATGAGGGATCCTTGGGTTAGGGGCTTTTCACAAGTGCTATTCCTGATATGTTTGTCATTAAACTTAGAAATCAGTTAAAAACATGGAAAGATTCAATTAATATAATTTGGCCCCTCTAATTAAGAAAAAATAACCTCAAAAATCCTGAGTTTGATAAGTCAATAGAACAGACTGTTTGATAAGTCAACAGAATTACAAGCTAGTATTCATATGCCAGTCTTCATCAGCCATCATCTATCATAAAGCTGTCTATGGAGACAGTGAAATAAACCTTGATAAACATCAATTTTAAATTTCAATTTCCACTCCTGTCCACAGTTAACATAGGTAATCATGAGAGGACACAGATGTCCAAATAAAGGGATATGTGTAAACAAAATATATTCAGAAGAAAAACCTAAAACTCATTTGAAGCACATAAAAATAAGGCAAATTTAGGAATTGTTTTTTCCGTGCAACATTTGTAAGGCAGAGGAGAGATGTCTGATTTTAATATTCTTACCAAATTCTGATATTCTGCTCTATTATGAATAGCTACTCTGTTTGGGGTATGTAAACATCTTATCTTATAAACTTATTTTACATTAAGGTATAATAGCAATTTTCAAGGGATAGCAGCATTATTTTTGAGATAGGGTCTCATTAAGTAGCCCAGGCTGGCTTCAAACTCGTGACCTTTCTGCCTCTGCCTCTAGAGTGCTGGGATTACAGAGGTGTGTCACCACACTCAGCTCCTATAGCAGCATTTAAAAAGGAATATATTAAATGAAATAGATTTTATTATGTGTTATTATAGTTCTTATTTCTCCCTATTATTTAACAATGGAGGTAAAAAGCAAAACATAATAGACTTTTATTATTTTCTGAACATTTAGTATGTAAAATCTCTTGACCATCCATAAAATCATTCTTGTATTTGTTTTATTAAAAGTATAGGTAAAAGACATATAAAATTTAAACATCTGGCATTAATTATGCTCTAGAGTTAAAATGTTCTTATATTTTAATTTAAATGTAACTGATATTTACATATATACACACATAAGAATTATAATTTAAAGGAAAACTCTTACCATTGATTTCCTTTTGACAGCTAGTCACTCCATTAGCCTTTCTTGATAGTGCTTTCCTACGTCAAGCAGACAGTAGCCATTCACAAAATGAAACTTGGATGTTCACGTCTTCACATGGGAGTTTTCGGCCAATTGCCAGTTGAGAATTTAAACTGAAAACTAAATTACCCAAACTTTATTAAATTGTTCCCATACTCACCAACTGATAACGAGCAATTACTCTACACTGGAAAATAAAGTGCCTACCTATGATCTACATCTTTTTAAGCAGTCATAATGTTATATTTGAAAAGAAATGCTATAACCAAAAATAAATTTCCTAAAAAATTCCCTAAAAACCTAAAATATCCCCAAAAGTTCCCTCAGCTGTCCTATAACCCAAATTAATATATAACAAAGATGGTTATTTATTCAATGAGTTAATAAATTATGAATTCATAAATTTAAATACTACCAAACATTGCCTTTACCTGGAAGTAAGTTGTAACATTTGGAAATTCTTTGACAGTATCAACTATACATATAAACTAGTTATTAAATCATCAAATACTTACAGTACTACATATAATAAAAGAAATTAAAGATTACACTGAAGAGATAGTTCCTGCCTGCAAACATTTTTTGTATTAAGACAATATTTATGGTTACCAATCAATAATTATAGTACAAAAATGCCTCAGTTCCTTTTCTGTACCAATTTAACTCTTTTTTCTCTCTTGGTTATTGTAACTACTATTTATAGAACATGCCAATCTTATATGATTTCTGAGCATTAGGTTTTATGATTATTTAGTTATACACTGTTTGATGCCTCTCAAATATTAGGCATATCAAGTTGTTCTCAAAAGTTTTTAAGATATACCTCAGAGCCCGAACATCATTTATGCCTAACTATAAGTTGGTTAGTTTCAATATTAAATAATCTTTGATAATTTAACTTTTTAGTAAAAGTATACTAAAGCTAAAATGAAAGAAAAACATTTCCTAATCTTCTTAAAGCATCAGGCCTATCACTGATTTAAAAACTGTTTCTGAATGTCTATTATAATAGGTTCAAAATTAAGTCAGCATAATTAGATAGCTAAAAGACTCAGTTTAGAGTCCTAAAAATGATACATATCCCAAATCTCCTACATATTCCATGCACAATCCTCTTCTCTCTCTCTCTGGCCTCCCTCTCAATCACACACACAAACATACACCATGTACACATGTATGCACATATGCACATGCATCTAACCTACACCCTCACAGATGTTTTTGTATTACAACCTCAAACCAGTACCAAGGTATTACATAATAGAGAATATGAGACAAATATCAGTTTATGATTAATCAAGAGAAAATGACTTCAGAACAAGACTTCCAGTTTAAACTACTGTCTTTGAATTAGTCACACTGACCTCCGAACAGTTAGATACCCAGATACAGGCTTACGCTATTATGTTCAATAGTTTTACTGCTACTCCTTAATAGTCATACATTTATAGACTGTTCAGGAACTAACAAGTTCTGTCCTTAGGTGCTATGAGATATAAAGGGAAGGTTATCTCCTTTCTCAAGGAGTTTGTGATCTGAAACATGACAGTGAATGGATGTTAGGTTGGCATACAGACCTGTAAATGACCACATTTCCAAAACAGAAGCAAGCACACTTAGGCAGTTCAAATGGTGTGAGTAAGTTGATGGCATGTTGGACTAATCTGAGAATACTTTATATCATTACATTTTTAAAGCAGAAAATATCCAACCACTTATCCAAATAAAACCCATAAACAAACTGTGATTAATTAAAGAATATGACTGCAGAAGTATTCATGTCCTCACTATGGAACCCCACTGTGGAATACTGAAGAGAAATTCCTGAGGTAAATGAAATTGCACAACATAGAGATATCCCCTCCCCACTCCCCAAATCAGGCTTTCAGTACAAGAGAAATTCTAAATATGTTCAGTTCACTCTGTGATTACTATCACCATGGCTGTAATTTGATTTTAATACAGAGACATAACACTGAAAAGTCACAATAATTAACAAAAATCATGAACCAAAAAAACCACAAGAATTAAAAGTCTTAGTGTAAGACTTTTATTAAGTAGAACGTAATACTACCTTTTCATTGTATAAATGAAGAAACTTCCAATAAGCTGTCATTATTTGCCCAAAGGCACATAGTCAACAGCAAAATCAAGACCCCTTAAGAACAATGCATTCTTCTTTTACTATAGCCAAGGAAAGAAACACTTACACTTCAGAAAGAGAGATGCTAGTTTAAAATATTCAGATAAATTATAAGCCCCAGAAAATGTAAAGAATCCATTCATATAGTTTTAAAAAGTATGTGATCGCCCTAAATCTGATACCTCCTTCTTTATGGCAGCCATACAGCCATGTATCCCTCTCTTACAGATTAAGAACATGAGGGTCAGAAGAGTATATAAAATCTTAACAAAACTCTCTCTGAAAGGGAAAATGCCACAGAATTTTCCATGACATCACATCTATTTTTCTTTCATTTCTTGTACCTTATTTTATTCAGGTTTTGATAGGACTGTCTAACATTTTAAGAATGCACATGCACAGCATCAGAAATACAGTATTATTTTGAAGGTTTGAAGTCATTTTACTCATCCCAACTGTAGATATAAATGGACAGCAAGGTAAGTTCAGAAAAATTATAAGAAATATAAAAGAAATAGTAGAAACACTATTTAGATTTAGTTGTAATGATAAAAGTTGTCCACTAACTCACTTTAGATTCCATTGTCCACTCAAAATTATACTTACAAGGTGTTTTTAGCAAAGTATGCATGCTTTCTAGTTCAACTAATCTCAAAAGTCAGCACACTCATTAGGCAGCACCTAAATCACTCACAAAGCTTGTGAACAGGGAATGATATTAAACAAATTAGTTCCATACCCCCCCAACCACCACATTCTCCTATACCCACTCCTCAGAGTTTGTGAACCAAAAGGGCATAAAATATTTTTTACCAATTATTAAAAGTCAACATTTTAGCAAATAAAGTCAAGATTTTCTTATGCTACTAAAACAACATATATATGCTTAAGGAGTTTTACTTGTATTTAATTTGGTCGCAAAGTAACATCTCAATATTTCACATGTGATTGTTTATCTCTATGTGTGAATGAGTATATGTGTATATACACATAGGTATGTATAAATAGCAGTCTACCTAAAACTATATTAGCGTATTAGAGAGTACAATATTTTAAAGTTTTCCTAACATGCTAATTGTGTGTGTGTGTGTGTGTGCTTACTTTTTCAGCTAAAATTGTGACATTTCTTCAGGGCAACAGAAAAATATCTATATTTAGGTCTACTTGTTAAATTATTATAGTAGAGTTAGAATACTGATATACTAATCTATATAAGAACCAGCTTACGTTCATATTACCCACATTATTTAGAATGATCTTTTAAAAGCCAGGTTTTAAAAATTAACCAAAGAACTATGCCCATCATTTTCATGGATGTTAACTGTGTTTATAAGAAAGTTATTTTTTCTATCACATCTTTTTCCTTTGGAAAGTACAAGTAACAATAGCACCTTACCACATAGGTTTGTTGTGAACATTAGGTAAGTTAACAGTGATAAACTGCCTAGAGGAGTGACCCAAGCACATCAGAAGCCTTCAAAAATACAGCCATTGTAATCACCAGTATAATTATCACCATCACTGTCACTGTCGTCACCAATAACAGCTTATATTACCATCATCTTCACAGGCATCTCAACTTATTCTTAGATAAAAACAGTCTCAGGCCATATTCCCAGAGATTCTAATTCAATATCACACCAATGCTTGAAAATGATGTATTAAAGATAAAGGACATAGATAAATATACAAGACACTACTTATACAATATCATCTTATAACTATACTAATAAACAAGAAGCAAAATACTTGAAGGCAGAAAAAGAGTTTTATAAGTGTAATGACAGCTTTACTATCTTCTTCAAAATACATACAACTTATGCCCAAAGCCAACAAGTTATTTTCCAGTGACCCAACTACTCGAGAGATGATATAATACAGAAATAAGAAATGGATTCTGGGCTCAACAGAGTTGAAGAAAGTCATATATCTGATTCCTTCTTGGGTAAGAGAATAGCAAGAAAGTTCATGCACAACTTCTGTGAGTAAAGCAATTATTAAAAATTTTGAGCACTCTTCATATGTGGTAGGCTTTGATAAAAGGAGACAGAAGTATAAAGCAGTAAGTGCTTCTGGACTCTCACTGGTGGAAATAACTCCCACCTTGTTTCTAGGTATCCCAGAAGTATTGTTACAGCCCAATAAGTAGTATGAGCTAGGAACATAGAAAAGAGATTGTAGTTATGGTGGGCAGAAAAGGCTTCACAGAAGAGAAAAGATCTTTGCTACACTTTATAATAACTAGCATTTATTTTTTGGTGGGACTGGGGTTTGAACTCAGGGCTTTGTACTTGCTCAACAAGTGCAAAGCGCCTAGGCAGGCACTCAACAGCTGGAGCCATACCTCCAATCCAATAGCTAGCATTTTTCATAAACAGAAAAAAACCTGCATTTCAGGTCAAAGACGATAGTGCAAGCAGGAAGCAGAATCAAGTATTTGCCAACCCTGGAAAGGCTGATCTTATCACTCTTAACTCAAAATACAATTATTATTTCAGGAAGATTGTTTTGGCAATGGTGTGCATAATGAGGTATGTTAAGACAGTTTAACTCTGACTAAATAGTAAGAGACAATAATCCAAAGGATTATTAAAATTAATCAATTGACTATGAAGAGAAAATAGGCATCAAAGTTTTAAGCTTACTTTCTTTTCTGGAAACTTCCTATTTTGTCCCGCTACAATCTTGATGAAGGAATGGCAGACAGTAGAAGCTGCCAAAAGTGTTCTTAGAGTTGGTCACAGAGAGCTCAGAGAGGGAAAGGAGTACCATGGCAGCAAAGGTGGCGGACCATGCAAGTAGAGACCTGGAAGTGGGGAAGCATAAACTTCACTCTCGTGTTAATTAATACTCATTTGTTACTTGGGACGAACAACTCACAGCTGCCTTTTCTTTTTCATCAACAGGCCTTAACTATGTTACAGAAGAAGAAATAAAAGCAAGATAGTTTAATACACAGAATGCCTATAGATGATGATAATCTAGGGTTTAAAGATCAAATATGTTCCTTATATTTAATAGGACATGCAAATGTATTTTAACACACTTAACAATGCAAAATAAGTAAAACAGTCACAAACAGCCTATCCAGCAACAGGGACCAACATGAAAGCTTTGCTATATTCAGTTCCAATGAACCTATTAAGTATTTATGGTCAAATTTCAATAATGAACAATGACTAATTTCTTTCCTTTGGAAGCAAGATGATCCATTTTTAAAGAATATATAACAGAGAACTTTTGTAGGCTTTCATTATATTACAAATATGGATCTCCCCAAACAATTGGCTTATATTACTGTGAAATAACTCCATAAATGTTGAGACCTTGCTTTGGTTCCCTACCCCACCCCCATACCATCAACACCGTGGTACTAGATATGTATTTAGGATATAATTAAATGAATTGTATCATATAATCTGATACAAATGTGTTAAAACCTATTATATTACATAGGCAGAGCATGGTGGCGCACATTTGTAATCCCACTTACTCAGGAGATAGAGGCTGGAGGATCTCAGTTCTAGTGGTTGGAGGCTAGCCTAGGTAAAATTAGCATGAGACCTTATCTGAAAAACAAACTAAAAGCAAAGGAATTATAGGCCTGGGTTAAACTTATAAGCCTCTGAGTTCAATCCCCAGTACTACCATAAAAAAATAAACAAAAAAAAAAACCACACACACACACACACACACACACACACCAGAAACAAAACATAAAGCCTATTATAGATATGCAATTTACTAGAGCACCTAACGCAGTATTGTTTCAGGTTACTGATACTCACTGTAAGAGTACAGCACTGCTGTGGTCCTAGTAGATGCAAAATGGCCTTGAGAACTCTGGGCTTTGTTTTTTTTAACTGTAAACAGTTCTTGGTACTTACGTGTTCCAAATATGCATGAAAAAATGATGTTCTTGCTGACATGTACTATGTAATTAGGTCTCTGCTTGTTGTATCTGTACTAAATATGTTTTTCTTTTCATTATTCCCTAAACAATACAGCACATCAACTATTTACATTGTATTAGGTATTATAGTCTAGAGATTATTTAAGGTATACAGAAAGATTAAGCAAGTTATATGAAAATACTATACCAATTCATATAAAGGGTTCTGAGCACTCATGGATTTTGCTATCTGTAAGGGTCCCTGAATCAGTCCCCCCAGATGTCAAAGGATACTTGGTTTCTCTGTTATCATTATACTTATTAACTAAAGAAAATCGATTTTCCACATTAAAATTTTTCCTGTATCTGAATTTGTACTTTCAGCCTTTTAAAACAGTCCAGCACATTTTCATTCATATGGTCAACAAATTAGTAATATTTTATTTCATAACATTTCTGAAAAATTAAAGGTATCTTAAAAGCTACCACACTTTAGTGATACTGAACTAATCCTTACAACAGTATGCTAAAATGCCATTTCCAAAGTGTGTGAGTCAGTTATCTTAAAGCATAAGGAGAGGGAACTAACATTTGTTGAAATACCTCATAAATTAAAGACTCATTTTTTAACCCTCACTCAATCCTGCAAGATAGTTATAACATACCCATTGAACGGCTATGAACTTGCTCAAGGCCCAGAACTATTAAATGACACAGTTATAATTCCTATCATGGTTTGTCTAGCTCCAAAGTCTAAGCTCATCCTTCTTACACCATCTGGAACACTGCCAAAGAGCATATTAAAGATGAGTTTAAAGTGGGGGGGAGAAGGGCATACATGGCAGAAGGGAGGTGCTAACTGATATAAAAGCAAACATCATGAAATGCAAGTACTTCATTCACTGAAGAGCTCTTCAAGCCTATCAAGACCTTCTTTGTCTTACTTTATACTTCTCTGCACATGAGTAGCTCTATGAATTAATAACAAGCTTTGCCAAACAAGGCACTATTTACAAAACTCAAAACAACAATAACTACTGAATTGTTTTTTGAAAGGGCAAATGGCCTTCTGACATACTTCAGTAGCCCTTGAAGAGATTATATTCACAAATTTTCATCAACAATCCCAACTCATTTAAATACGTAAAACTTTCTAATATATTTTGTAAGAATGGCTGAGGTAAAATGTTCTAGCAATCAAAGAAAATGAGTATCTGGAAAATATATTAATCAAAGGTCCAATAATGCTAGATGAATAAAGTATTAATTTATCTAGAAACATTTGGGGAGTTCTATGCTTTTTATACTTTTATACTTTCCAAATCAGATGCAACGGGCAAAATCAGGCATCACAAATTTAGTGGTAATCAATCTAAATATTCTAAAAGATATAAAGTTCTTAATTTTAAGAAAAGGAAAATTATGAACTATCAACACAAGCTGATGGTAAAATGTATCCCTTTGAAAGTTAAGAAAGTATTTCAAAATGGAATTTTAGCTCCTATAGCACTTATAAATGAAGGTGAAATTTTTATTGCTCCAATTTATTCCCCTCTTTCCCTTTCTTTTGCCTTATCTTTATATAACAAGACTTCTTAATTAAAAACACTATACCATCTAATATGAAAAAGTAGCCTAGCTTTATGTTTTAAATTTACTTAGGCATTTACATTTAAGAGTTTTGAGGCTCTCAATACCAAATTGCACATAGGTTAGTTCTTTAAACTCTAGGCTAGGGGTTCAACTCAGTGGTAAAGCACTTGATCAGCATTCAACCGGGCCCTGGCTTAATCCTCAGAATTAAAAAAGAAAAAGTTATGGTAGAAGAGTGAAAAATGTCTCTTCAGGATTTTAAACAAAGTTTCACACAATTAACACTGTAGCAGGTAATTTAACATGTGTGACCTTTTGTACAGCAACAATTCTAAAACTCGGAAGCCACAAGCAGTCTTTAATTTGCTTTGTTACCTTGATTGGAGGGTCAATGCACAAGAAGACCCATCCTACACCAAGAATTAACACAGTATTCTGTGAACAGAAGTAAATAAGGTTTAGTTGAAAGAGAACCAAATAATGAAAAGTCAGAGTGTAGTCAAAGAACTAAGCTGGCAAATGAGAAGCATAGACCATTTGGCCTAGATTTGTTTGTAATGACTGTATGATCCAGATACTAAAATATGTGACTAATACCCAGAAATCTAAACTCTGAAATAATTGAAGTAAATGGTCAACTGGTTAACTCTTTTAGTCAAATGACTTAAGTTACTTAAACTAAATAATTAGCATTTTCCCTACAGAGATTTTTAAAACTTTAAAAATAAGATATCATTTTTGCTTTATGAATGATCCCATAAACTAAAATTCACCTTTATTATCAGACAATACCATACTGTTTACACTACAGAGGTTACTACAAAAATTGTTTGAAGAGAAGAGCAGGAGAGTACACACCTGTAGGATTTTTAATTTTACTTTTTATTTTTGGTGTGCTAGGGATCAAATCTTGGGACCACCACTTGCTAAGCAGACACTACCCCAGGCTACACCCTTAGTCTGAGAATGTGCATTTTTTTCAAAATAATACTTATTTAAGAATCTGCATTTTCCTCAACAATGCAGACTGCTTGCTTTATTTGTGGTTTATAAAGTTTATTATATACAGAAGTGTCTATATAGTGTCTTTAATTCAGAAGCTGAGGAAGCTTTGCTAATAAAATTGCTGGAATGGAGACAGAGTAAATTCATCAGAGACTCACTTCACTTCATACTCATAGGCTTGATAGGGAAAGGTGGTGTTTCACATAGGTAAAAATTTCAGATAATGCAGAATAATATAACTATAGTGAACTATGCTGAGTACCTGTCCAATGCTGCCCTCCTTCTAATGACTGAAGATTTCATTTCTTTACCTATATCTCTCCTAGTAGTTGATGTGCCTGAAGGGAAGCAGACTGACTGGGAGTCTAATCCAATATGGTAAACTCATCCCCTTTGCCAATGATTTGCTTAGGTATATTTTGCACTAACAAATTTAGGCCAATAAGAAGCAATCTTGGGAGAAGGGTGAACAGGAACTGCTTTGAGAAAAGAAGCTATACTGCTCATGAGAAAATCAACAGAATTTAGTTCTCTTCCCTTTGGATTTGAAAGAGGAAACTGCACAATCCTAATACAACTAGTAGACATTCTGTAACTACAGTGTTGGGGGACAGACACTACAGAATAGAAAGCATACAGTAGAAAGTCAAATCTAGCCCATGAAAAAAGCCAGACATAGAAAGCAAGTATTGCTCACAAGTAGAATTTAGGGGGAAAAAAGGGACATAAAAGTAAAGAGAGAAGGAGGAGAGGGAAAAGGAATAGGGGAAATAAGAGGAGGCAATAGAGGGGATGAATATGATCAAGGTATATTATATGTATGTATGAAAATGTCAAAATAAGTCCCATTACCTTATATGATTAAAATGTTAATAAAAATCATCGAGCCACGGGAATAAGTAATCCTAATGTGTGTTTTACTTCTGATACTTTTTTTATGTGAACCAAACAATACCCTTTTTATTTAAGCCAAAAATAGATCAATTTGGAAAATAATTAGCTGTCAGGAAAGTAAGAATTGCTAAGGTCTATTTAATTACTTATAGAAAAATTTATAATCTATCTTATCTTATTCTTGACTTAAAAAAAAACACTGCTATTTTTTCTAGGTTTTCAGATGTCCTACAATGATTGTGCATTGATTGTATGTGTCATTGGGAAGGGAGTATTTAAAAATTGTGAATGGACCAAACAATTTGACCCCTTTTTTTTATCAATGTAAAAGTCACAGTATACCTTCAGAAAATAATACTTTCATGGGCCCATGTTGTACTCAGATTACTATATTCTTAGAGTTTGACTTTGCTCTGATATCAACTGTCTCTTTTTCCTGCCATATTTACTTTACTCACACTGTGTAAGAACCAACAGACTTTACTGGCTACATATTCTCATCCAACTCTAAGTTCCCAGTCATGCGTTTTTTGATAGTTGAAGTTCCCAGAAGTATGCCCTGAAGCACATGATAACTATTCTGGGGAAAGTTAAGTTGATCCTTGAACTTGAACTAAAAAGATAAACATGTAACTAGTTTTGTACTTTTTAAAAACCTCCTTTCCTCCTCCCCTTCCTCTGTTCCTTTTCTCAATTTATTCTACCTAGACAAAAATTTGATCTCATCTTTAAATAGTGTGTTAGGAGAGGCTATAAAACTCTTATCTTTAAATAGTATTTTGAGAGAGACACACTATTCCATAGGCATAGTGTACCTTGTACAGTGATAAAGACATTTGAATTAGTTAACCAACTAATTCACAGAAAATCTATAGTTTTTGGATCCTTCTCAAAGTGCTGGCAAATCAGCCTGAATACTCACATGGACAAAATCAGATGAATATTAGATGTCACCTTCTCCATTTACATGAGCACAAACTCTCTAGATCATCAGTCTCTGTATTATTTCCCTAAATGGCATAATTCTTCATAGCCAAGGACTTTATAGGATTTGATCATATTACCCTTGAGAAAGCAGACTAGTAATAGCCATAGATACATTCAAGAAATACTGTTAGTTAAGAAACTATATGAGTTCATAAGAAATCCAGGGAATTATGCTTTCAAAATGTTTTTCTCCTGAATCCTCTGGAGTTTAACTAAGAGTCTATTTCTAGACCCAGTGATCAAATAATAAATTCCTATAATAATGGATAAAGATATTTTGCATAGAATGTTATTTGGGGCAAAATAGTTTAAAAGATCTCATCTAAGTTTCAGTGAATCAAGCAAGACTAGGAAAATCTTAGTCACTATTCAAATCTGATATTTATTAATAAATGGTGTAAACAAAGTGATGACATCCACTGTATGTTACACATTGTGTATGTACAAAATTGCTTAGGTACTTTAACATATAAATTAATATACCATATTCTCTTAAAAACTAAGTTCTTTCTATTCTATTTAATGGAGTCAAATAATAAAATGAATTCGCTCAACTCACAAACCATTTTTAAGCAACTAGGCTTTCTAAATTGTATTCTATAATACAATCACTTCCTAACATTACACAAGCTACTGAAAGGGTTTTAGAAATGATCTTACCATCATATTCTATAGATAGAATAACAATACGTGTTTTATATTTCTTCAAATACCAGGCTTTGTTTACATCCCAATTTTCACGTTTATTCCCTCATCTTTAACTCTACCTATGATTCCCAATCTAGTCTACAAAACCAGCTTCTAACAACATTGCTTCTACATACTGCAGTCAGATTCAAGTTTTCTAAATGGAAATTTAATCATGGCATACTCCTTAAAGCCTTTCCATCATTTCCCAAATACCCTTAGGATAAAGGGAAAAATCCTGAATAAGAATTGTAATGTTTGGTGTATTCCCCATCTTTATTTCTTCTTTTTCTCAATGCTCAGTCACACTGGAGTCCTTTAAGTTCATTCTTTTATTTTTGCAGGTTCTTTTATTTTTCTGTTGCCTACTAATGTTCTAGCTAACTCTTCTCCCAGTGCCTAGACTTTGCTAACTCATGCTGATTCTTCCCATCTGAGCTTAAGTTACTTCTCTTGTCTTTCCTTGACTTTACCATCAATACTCCCCTATCATTCCAGAACATATTAGGTGTACCTATTATAGCTTCTCATATCTCCTTACAACTCTTCCTTTGACACTAATCTTAGTCATAACTAATGTTAGTTTCAGTCTTTCCCAACACTGTTGGTTTCATGAGGACATTAGACCATATCTTGTTTATTGTCTTATACCATCATTTAGCAAAAATTCTAGCATATAATAATATTTCATAAAAATGTGTTGAATAAATGAATTTTATTAAATTGAAATTACCCTATAACTAAGTGGTTTATTATTGAAAAGGTCTACTTTTCTACATTTTTATAGTAGATAGTATAAACATCTGAAGTCTAGAAAAACTGGTTTAGAATCCCAGATCTATCATATATTGTGTCACCTTAAGTCTCAAGCACTCAAATTCTTTATGTTAACAAAAACAATATCCATTGTCTACTCTGAATTCCTTATACAGTTTTTGAGAGGAAAAGGAAACTATTTCCTCAGCACTAAAAGGTTTATTTTTGTCACATATTTTTCAAATAAAGTGTTATGGTAGATATCAAAAGAACCTCAGGAGGACAATGATACTTCTCTGGACAGTGACCTGGACCTGGAGGAGCTGGCAGTAGTGGGAAAACATCAGGATCTGAAGGACCAAATGTGTGTGTGATTTGCTTAAGCAAAAGATGATAAAAAGGAGGAGGGGGAAGAGAATCCTCTGGTGGTATCACTGGAGGAAAAGGCAGTGCTGCAGGAAGAACAAGTCAACCTGTGATTCTCAAAGCATAGCTTTATGGAATTAAGAATGATGCTGATAAAGCTCTGGGGATAAGTTGGGTCAAACTGTCCTAGGAGAGCCTTCAGATGGTGCAGCAGCAGCAGCTGAAGCTACCACCACCATTATCACTCCCACCCTCCAGCTTGAAGATTGAGGGGATACCTCTCCAAGTGCCCAGATGAAGCGCCTAAGAGGACAGGAATGGCCACTGACCCTGAGAGGGTAGTTAGAGGTGACAGGTCAGACAGTGTTAGCAGTAGAAGTAAGGATGAAGAGAAATGATAGCCATCCCATGGTAAGAAGTGAAGCCATGGACCTAAGTCAGATAATGATGGGATTGAGGCAGTGCCTATGGAGAACACAGGATTCTGGACCTTGAACACTTTTCTCTAAGTGCAGTTATTGCATCTTCCAAAAAGTCTAAGAGAAACCTCATGGATAATTCCTTCAACCAGCACACATTTAATGAAGATGAGGGATTTGTGCAGGAAGAGAAGCCATACAAGATACAGCATTGCCTACTGGCAAGAAGAAGGTGAAGCATTACTTGAAAATTAGGTCAAGTCCAGAAAGAAACAAAGGATGCTGAGGAAACTGGAACAAAACCAAGAAGGCAGAAGTTGCAGTGAATACAGTGGACATCCAAGAACAAGAGAAGGTGGTACAAAGTCTCTATAAGAAGGCTGGGGATGGCAAGTAGAAATGCCAAGTCACTTACGTTGTAGCCAAAAAAACTGAGGGCTGCGAGGTGTGGCAGCCACCTTAAGTTAGAGGTCATTTCAGAGTGGCAGATGAAGAAGGACCAGGGAAGGGCTGGTGGAGTGGCTCAAACAGTAGAGCACCTACCTAGCAAGCATGAGGCCTAGAGTTCAAACCCCTGTACCACCAAAAAAAAAATAAGTAAATAGACAGATAGATAGATAGAGAAAGAAAGAAAGAAAAGAAAAAGAACCAGGGAACACAGCAACATAAGGAGCTGGAGAATAAACACAAGCAGAAGTGAGCACAGCTGCCTGGGTCTTCTGGGAAGATAAGACTAGGAAGGAATGCAGCATAGTTCACAGCCCACTTGATACAAGCCCTGCCCACACTCACATCAAAGCTGAAAAGACATGGAGCTACAGGATACTCTTGAGCTGCAAGAGGATGTCCTCCTCCTGAAGGATGGTTTCCCATGAAAGCACTGAGGAACTGTCTTGTACTGACAGACTCCACAACCCTCCATGAAGAACTTGGGGTGCTGCATGGAAACAATCAAATCTTCTTTAAACCTTAATGGGAAGTTTGGTGTTGGTGGCATTTGTTGTAGCCTATGTTGTAGCATGTGGTCCTTTCAAATATCCCCTATTCCATTCTTAGCAGAATAAAATGAAAGAAATAAAAAGAATCTTGCCAGACATTACTTAAAATGTTATAATTGCTGGCATTATAACCATGTGTATTGTATCCATGACTAAGAATATACCTTTTTAATCTGTGATTTTAGTTGTCTGCATTGATAAAACTGTATACAGTATAATTTTAACTTAATTTTAAAATCCCTAATTACCTCTTAAAAGGTCTTTATAAATACCAGTATAATGCAGCATCAGAACAAAAAGTTATTATGTATGCAGAACTATATGCGATGTGTAGATGATTTCTCTTTAGTGAAGATTTACCAGCATTAATCCTGAGCAGATACCAAATATCTGTCTGTTAAGTCTTCTGGATGATTTTCAAGAAAAATTATTTAACTTCTATGTAATATAATTAGAAAAAACTAATTTAATTAAGTACAAAATGGAAATCTAGCCAAAGTAATTCCTATATGTGCCTCAGAATTATGCTACCAATCCTAAAAGTGCTAGGTGAAGACAAGCTGCATGTGGCTGCAATACTTATAGCCAAAAGTAATTCAGAATGATCGTCAGATCAAGTTTTTCTCCTCTTTCAAGGAAAGCATCTGATGTTTCCAAAAAAGGGAAAAAAGTTGATCTCAAGTCAAAGGATGAGTTTTATAACTGATAATATCTTAGAATCAAGAAAATATAGTAATATAAGAACAGTCTGCAAATTAAGTGTTACATACTAGGTTATTATTATTATTTTTTTAAGATAGGGCCTTGCTATGTACTCCAGGCTAGCCTTCTGAGAGCTGAGCCACACTCAACATAAATAGGTAATTTTAAATGTACCTATTTTGTAGTGGTACAAAAAAGGAGTGATTTACATGAGATCACTTGTAAAATCAATGTTTGAAAATGAGATTCCAATATTAATGATTGTTAGAAAAAATGACATTCTCCCTAACTTTCATTAGACAGTCCTGACAAAATGAAGTCCATATTATTTGTTCTCCTACCACTTTGAGCACTGCCAGAATAACCCATAACAATGTCCTATGTTAAATTCTTTACAATATTCCCGTGGGGGCTGAGGGTGAAGCTCAGTGGTAGAGCATGTGTAAAGCCCTGGGTTCAATCCCCAAACACAAACACACACACACCCTCCCCCTCCCCCCTTCACATCCTTCTGGGAAACATATTCTAAGATCTAATCATTATTGTCCAAAAGTTCTCCTTATATCTATCTCCATTCTTTCAGTTATCTGTTAAATAGACCTAACATTTTATTTAGTTTTACCTTTCACAGACATTGCTTAAAACCAATACAGTCTTTAATCATATCTTCAAAAGCTAATCAGGACATGTATTTTTACTTACTTTTCTCTAAGTAGTAGCAGTTTTCTATAACGCCCTTCCCAGGTGAACAAAATTCTGTATCCACAATATTATAGGTTGGTGGCGCTGGTGATCACTGAGACTAGAACCACTAACAGCTGACTCCTAAGAAATCAAACCTCTGGCTATTTAGTACTATGCTTTTTAAAACAAAGAAATGATGAGTTATCCTGAACATTATTTTATTTAGAAACTTCATTAAGGAAAAACACTATATTGGTAAAAGATCAGTGTACTAGAGAGGCAGCAAAAACAATTCATAAACATTTCCAGTTGACAGGAATCTGAATTACAGTTCATTACCTTTAAATTTCTGTTAATAAACTCAAATTTCTTGTTATACTACAAATATGGTGAATATACACAAATTTCATTTTATATGTCTTAAGAGTATCAGATAATTATTGTAAAAATAAGGATACAGTTTATTTAGAAAAGGTAAACATCATCTTCGACAGTGTCACTGTCAAAATGATTGGACTGATAGACAATTACCCTGACTCAACAAAGCACTATGATTTAAATAGCAGAGAGAAAATAATTTGGCTCTTCCTACTTCTTTAGGATAATAAAAAGGTAGAAAAAACTGGAATGCCATATAAATATTTATTCTAATTTTTAAAATTCTTAGAAAATAATTCTAAAATATCAAATAAACAATTTTGAGAATTTCATTTTACCAAGACTTTGTTATTTAATCTAGTAAAAAAGGTTTCTAAAAAAGTAGAAATTCAATGATTTACTCAACTTTGGAAGTTAATTTTGTTGTAAGGCAGACACTACAAAAAATTATATATCCAAAAATAAAAATGTACTTTGCTTAAAAGAAATTTCCAGGACAATTCTACCATAAGGATAAGGCCTAGCAATTTCTAACTACCATACTTTCTTTAGTTTCTTCTAGAAGATACATATTCAAAACAGATTCTTCATTCTCTCATGTGACCCTAGATATTCAGCCAACACGGAGTTTGAAACTGTGCCCTAGCCCTTGCACATTCATGCAAAGTTGCTCTTTGGCTATAAAGGAGACTTTAAAAGAGATAAAATGAATATAATAGGTGGGAAAGGAACAGGGGATAAAGAAAAGGCCTCTTTTGTGCCATCTGAATTATTCAGTCTAGCAATGAACTCACTATTTCTAACTCTAACAATCTATCAGGAAATTCTAAATAGTAAACTCTAAGACTAACAAAGTTTAAAAATATCACTAAATCAGCCAACTTGTGATTTCTTCCACTTGAAAATATTTTAATAATATAACAAATTAAATTGTATACAAATTTTATATTTCTAATTTATGAATTTTATACGTAAGACCAAAAATGCTAATTTTAAAAACTGATCCTCAAAGTTAGCTAATTAATTTTTGTCACCAGTTATTATGAATCAACAAACTATCCCCTTTTTGTTATTCCTAAGAAGCCAATTATAGGCATGCTCACTCATGAGCCTTATTATTGTCATTTTTGTGTGAGACATGACCAAATATTTTAAACTGTTTCAAGAAAATCTTTCTCCACTGGTGCTATTCCATATTTTACCAAAGAATGAAAGGTAGTCCTAGTTCTTCATCAGCAGAGACAGGCTAGAGTCAGATTTCTCCTGCAACCATTAATGATGCTTGGTTACATAAATTATTAATAGAGATTAAGACTTCTTTGAATAAGGGCAAAGATGAGGTCATTCCTTCTTAAAAAGAAAAATAACTATGTCTACTTTGTTTCCAAACTACTTTGCCATATATATCTGAGATAAAGCAGAACTTTTCACTTTTCTAATCACAAAATAATTTGCTTTAAAAACATGAACAGAACCATTGTAAACATAAACATAAATGCCACAAGACATTCCCCTTGTATAGCTGATATATGCTAATCAAATGGTTTTTAGAAATATGAATAGGAATAACCCAGAAATAAACTCATAGATTAACAGCTGGAATACTTTCAAAAAGCACACAACAAGGAAAGGAAAATCTGCTCAATAAACGGTATTGGATAAACTGGATGGGCACCCACATACAGAAAAATGAAATTAGGCCTTCACCCCACACTATTTACAAAAACAACTAAAATGGATTAATAAAGACATAAATGTAAGACTAGAAACTGTGAAACAAACCAAAAGAAATCATAAGGGAAAGTTCCAGGACATTAGTCTGGGCAATGAAACTGGTATGAAGATGTCTGCCTCCCACAACCACTGCAGCACTATTCAGAACAGCCAGGCTACGGAATCAGTGTAAGTCTTCATTAGATAAATGGAGGGATAAAGAAAATATGGTATATACACATGATGGAATGATATTCATCCTCTAAAAAGAAGGAAATCTTGTCATTTACAGTATCATGGATGAACCTGGAATACACTATGTAAAGTGAAGTAAGTCTGGTCAGACAGAGAAACACTGTGTGATCTCAATTACATGAAGAATTGAAAAATGTCAAAGTCATAGAAGCAGAGGGCAGAAAGGTAGATACAAGAGACTAGGGGCTGGAGGGTTGGGAAAATATTGATGAAATGGTATAAAATTTTAATATTGGCAAAAGATCTATTGTAAATCATGGTAAATATAGTTTATAACAATATATTATATACTTGATTTTAAGTGTTTTCACCACAAAAAAGTAAGTATGTGAGGTAAAACATGTAATAGTCTTGATTTAGCCATTCCACAATGTATTCATATATCAAAACATCATGTGATACACCATAAATAATAATTTGTCAATTTAATGAAAATATTTGCCATTTGTATAAACAAATGAATATTTAATACTGTTTTTTTTGCTTCAACTGAGTCATTCTGTAACCGAAAACCTACACAGAATACTACTTCTTTTGCAAAGTTATACACCTGTCTCCTTATACTTTAATTCTCTATTTGAAAATTCCTAAGTCTCAGCAGAAGTGTTAATACAAGTTTACTAGACTCTATTCTTGTTAACATAAAAAAGAAAAAAACAGAAGAGTTTACTAGATGTCTTGTGCATTTTCCCCAACTTCTTCCCTTCTCTAGGAACATCTAATTCTCTTCCCAGACAAATCACCTGGTAAGATATCAGCACTGATCTTCTTGATTAAACCCATTTTTATAGAACTGAGAAGCAGGACTACAGCATACGTAGGATTCACTTAAGTGTCACCATATGTTGTTAACTAGCTATATAGATGTTTCGTGACAGAGCAAAGGTTTAGAAACCATGTGTCTGGATACCACCTGGTGTTCTCTTCAACATGTCCCCACTAACTCTTCAAAATGATCCTGGAATTCAGATTGGAGAGTGTGAACTGATAAAGGCTTTACCAATGCACTTTAGCAATATGTACTGTGAGGTATATTTGCCCATCATTTCTACTCCTGGAACTCTATTGTTAAGATAAAGATCTAAATTTTCAAACTATGTACAAATGTTCATGTCAGGTGTTTATAATAAGAATATTTTAAAATATGTCCAACATTAAGGGACATGGTATATCTAGCCACTTGAAAATCTCTTTAGATTGTGAATAAAGATTCCTAAAACCAAAAAAAAAACTGAAATAAAACTTCAAGGTCTTCATTATTGAAGTTGAATTGCATTTTATTTAGGAAAACTACAATAAATAGCTTCCAAGTGTTTTGAGAGATTTGGAAAAATGGCCTCTTTAAAAGATGGTATCTCACTTATTAAAGCTCTAAATTATTTTCAGTAGTTGGGAGATTTACACTCTGAAAATCTATGAAGTTTGTCTTATCTTAACACCAAGGAGAAGGCTGAGTCAGCAGAAGTACAAAAGCAGAGCATGGTGGTGCATGCCTGGAATCCCAGCACTCAAGAAGTTAAGGCAGGAGGATCCTGAGTCAAGGCCAGTCTGGGCTGCACAGCAACTTTCTGTCTCAAAAAAAGTATAGCATGAGAATAGCTTATTAAACATGTAAATTATACTTTCAAGACAGAAATGGGACTTATGATGTATGGTAAGTTAACAAGACTTATTGAGTCCCTTTACACAATATAGAACAACCAGATATTTTTTTTTTTAAAAAAAGCAGGAATAAATGGTTAATTTTTTTCTAACAGATTTTTTCAGTTGCTATTTCATTGCTCTCTTCAATAAGTGGTCTGTTCTTGACTTATCGAGACATAATAAATAAGAACATTAGAAAGCTTTATCTGCTTCAAAAAGAAGAAACAATATACATGAGTTCCATTTGTATATTCATGTTTTGCTAAAAGAAACATCAGTACTCAAAACCCTCTAATTTAAAATAAATCATTAAGGACAATTACTAAAACATCTCAAAAAGGTACTGTTTCATTGAAGTTTAAAAGTACTAAACTCCCATCATTCTACATCTTTCTTTTGTGGCTAAGGTTTTCATAGATGAGTTCTCATACTCTTTTACTATTAAATTTCTGAAACTAGGATTCTAAAAGTCAACTATTCAGATACTAGAAATAAACCGTGAAGTAGATGAAATACCCAAGTTAGCAAGAAATGTCTCATAATTCTGTTTATAGGAAGGTAAGAGTCTTTCACACAAGGCACTGAATAGTGCTTTTCTTCTAAAACAATGGATGAAATACAGTGTCCAAACTGCAAAACTGATTGGTAGTTCTTGTGTCATATGGTCCTTGTAACCTCCTTACATATCAATATGATTGTTCCAACCAACCAAACCCAGTGAGGAAACTGTAGCTGTGCTTCTCACTACCTCTCTCATCCAAACATAATCAAATCTATAAAATTGATCAGATCAAATCTTTTTCAAAGGTATCAAGGCACTTAGAGTAAAACAAAGTGTTTTTACCTCTTTCTGTTACTCTGCACAGAAAGGTTTTCTAATTTTCCTAGCATTTTTAATACTCCCTTGAAGTCTAGAAAAGCTGTCTTTTTAAAAAAATTATCCTTACAAATGAATGGGCTATTTCTACTAACAGCTTCCTTTTAATTATTCTCCTTTTAGACTACTGGCCCCTAATGCTAAAATGCGCAGCTTCCTTACATGTCTGAGGAAAAAACCCTCATATACCACAACAATTCCACAGTTTCTCTTCCATTAAAAGTGTTATTTGATTTGGTCTTTACACCATTAAGGAAACATCAGGGCTTCTGGAAAGTAGTTTCGTATGGGTAGGGAACTCACAGCACTTAGGATCTACATTCACCACACTAGCTAAAAAAAGGTAGCAAGGCCAATGAGAAAAATTAATTTAAGACAATTTTGAAAACATGAAATTTTTCCATTTTAAATAGGTTTAAAAGGATTTATTACATCATACAATACAAATCTCCTAAAATATGTTTTCATCTTCCAAAATGTATACTTTAATCTTTAGCTAAATGGAATTACTAATAAATGGAATAATTTAAAAGCCCAAAAATGAAAAGACTAATCAACAAAAATTCTGAATACATAGATTATTTAGTGAAATGCGTGTGAATTGAGATTCAACATCATAATAGAGGCTGACCACCTCCTGGACTCCCTTCCTCTTCCCCCAAATTCTTGAATCAAAACAAATTCTGGGAATAACCTACCAAAACTTAGCACTTAGACAAATTTTTAAATATTTTGATTTTCTGTGTTTTCTCACATCAAAATTATTGGATATCCCC